TTTACACTGGGGTTTCCCACAAGGGTGCTGTAACACTTGGAAATGAAACCCTATAACCCACTTATCCACACACTACACAGACTTTTGGTGCCCCTTTTCTTGAAGCATCTGCTCACCACTGCAGCCTGGTAAAGTGGAGGAGCCCAAGTTTGCCTTTCACTTTTGTTTAATTAGTGTCTCTTCACAATTAAACTTTAATTACTTATTCAGTTAGTTTTTGTTACATAATGTTTCATCTACTTTACACCTATTTTTATGGCTATTTTTATTCAATTTTTAAAGCTTTATAGATGTGTATAGATACATATAAGATATTCATCTATATGCCCTTTGAGAAGCATATATGGTAAAACAAGGTGTTCTATGTATAAAACCCCATGTTTTAAAATTTAAATTTTTTACTGTCTATAAATGCCTATTTTTTTTTTTAACATCTGAGCACTTCCTAGTCAAAAGGAAGCAGAAAACAGAAGGAAGGGCTGTCTGAGAGCATAAGGATATGTCAGCATAAAGAACTGAATTGCTCTACAGCTATATTTATTAGCAGATACCAAAAACTATTGGTATTTCTGCGTGTCTTCTGTGGTATAAATATGACACCAAGCCATGTTGTTGGGACTACACACAGAAATGGAAGAGGTTTTCTAGACAGATTTGTTTTGAGCAGTAGAATTAATTTTACTAGTATATGAAGATTTAATTTCTAATCCACTGCTATACCAAAGCACCCATTTAAATATTTGAAAAATTTGGATCTCAGCAATATCACAGGAATTGATTTAGCCATGGTTCTAGACTTTTGCATTTAATTAAAACTTTGAATAAGTAATAACTTAAAGAAGAATTGAAATATTGTACCTTTTTTTTCCATTAAAAAAAATCCCAAGAGTATGAATTTTACACTTTGCTCTGCCAGCGTTTTTCCAGAGTAGATTAAGAGATATCCCAACTACCAGAATTGTGTGTCTCAGGCTGCAACACTCAGTATGAAAATCATTTGCATCAGTAATCATTGCCATTCTGAAAGCATTTGCTTCTAAGCATGAACATAAATCTATTTTGAAATGCTTTAAATCTCTTAGGCTGCAATTGCTGCATTCTGAAGCATGAAATATTTCTCTCTTGGGAATCTGTTTTGTTTGACTTCTATTCTGTATTTTGCTACTTTTAATAGCAAATGGCACCCTTTAGAGTTACTTCTTAGAAAGGGGTTATTTCTTGGTTATTTGGGCCATTATGATTTCCTTCTAGCTTCATGCATTGTACAATAGCTACATGTTTTTTTAAAAAGCTGTTAACACATGTACTTCAGAGGCTAGTAAAACCTCCTACAGATCTTTTTAATAAAAATTGGCTTGGTGACAGTTGGGTTCTGGAAAAGAAGCACTACTTCTACTGCTATACATTTAAGAAAAGCTCTCCCCTTCCTCCTAAATTTCTTGGAAGCTAACAATAACATTCTATTTAGTAAATACCACTATTGGAATTAGTATTGTATGACATATACAAATGTGTTTTATGCAAAGATAAAGAACTAATTAAGGCTTCAGAGGACATTGCCTATTCAACCAGTTCATCTGCTTGAAAATTAGTATTTGTGAAACAGATAAAGCACCCCAAAGGGTTCCTCTTTTTTTAGGGCAGAAGAAAAATGCAGTGACATTTCTGAAGCAGGATTAACCTTTACTGTGCACTGTACACCATAAAATGTGTTTCCTTTCTCAGTGGAATTCTCTCTGTTTCCGAGAGATAAAGTAGAAGATAAGCTTCAATATCTGTGCTTTAAACACTTAACTTCTCTTTTATGTAACATCTAGAGGATCCAAACATCCTATGTGAAGAACACTGGCTATAGCCAAAGGAGAGAAGCACAGGTCTCCACAGGATTTTTCAAACCAGCTAAATGAGATAAATCCTTTTTCTTTTGACTGCACAGGGAACTAGCATAGAAAAAACCAATGACCTCAGGTGATAAATGTTAGCAGCTTAGAAATGGCCAGTAGCTACCCAAGAGATAATATTAAATAAATATCTTTATCAACAAGTGGCTGATTCAGAGGCATTCTTTGCACTTAAGGACTGAGAATGCCTGATTTTCCAGTGATGATGGCTGTAAAGCAAAAGGAACTTCTTCTTCCACAAACTTCTGTTTATTGTATTCATCACAGATGAGGAAAATGTGTAGTTTAGATCTACCTTATCCTAACTCTGTCTTGCCAATAAAAGAAAGTTCACAGAATCACAGAATGGTTTGGGTAGGAAAGGGACCTTGAAGATCATCCAGTTCAAACTCCCCCTGCCCTGGGCAGGAACATCATCAATTACACTAAGTGGCTCAGAAGTCCATCCAGCTCTCCTTGAAAACCTCCAGGGAAGGGGCATCCACAACTTTGCTGGACAAGCTCTTCCAGTGCCTCACTCACTGGAAGTAATAACAAGACACATAACAGTTTACAGGAAGTTCTCTTTCATTCTTCCCCGTAACTTTGTCTTATTGTGCAGCAACAAGACTTCAAAGCTAATGGGGCCAAAAATGAAGGGAATTGAATGAGCAAGAGAGAATCTGAATATGCAGCTCCTAATATAGAAGACATCTATGGGAGAATTCATAGAAGCTGTGTCTTTAAAGGTAAATTAAACAGTATTTGGAGACATTCCCAAGCATCACAACACAGTATTTTATACTAGAAAAGTGCTACAAAATTCCCTGGGGTGATTTTAGCATGTGCCAACTAATAGTCTCACGGAGGAGTCTGGACACCTCTTATGCAGTATAATTTTCTAGGAACCATTCCAAGAGGATTTCTGCATGAAGACATCCAACTCTGAAGATTTACTTTCTATGACTGGTTCTCACTGCTTGTTGCCATCTGGCCCCAGTGCCTAGATGCATTCATGAGCATAAATAGTTTGCTAGTTTATAACAATAGCAAAAACTTTTCTTTATTAAGTATTCTCCCAATAGTCACAATGTTCTTTATCCTAATATTAAAAAGTAATAATAAAAAAGAAGAACAGAGAATCCTTCCCAGTCTTCTGTAGTTATTTCATTCTCACTGGGGCATAAAATTAAGTTTTTCTGTTTATTCTCTCCTCTGGACCCATGAGTGTTGAATTGAATGGAGAGAGAAGTACAAGCAGCTAAAATAAGCTGTCCATCTACTTTATCTTGTCTATTTTAGAGATGAAAAAACAAATCAAAATCTAGGGTTTTAAGAGTGCTTGATGCCATTAACCAGTTGTCTTCTAAAATATTTTACAGCTTCTCTTTTATGACATTCAAGGTTTCTGTTAGAATGCCAGACTTTTGGAACATTTCCTATGCCGACCTACTTTTTTGTTAGAAAAGTTTACCCACACCCCTCTTATTTGTATATAACAATGACTCACTCAGATCTTAACCATGTGAATCTTGCATCAATGCAAATCAAATTAACAATGGAAGACTTACACTACAAATTTTGTCTATGACATATAGAAAAGATAACTATGCTAAGAGGTTAAAGAGCTTTAAATTCAAATTATTCATAAGTTAATTCATGGAATTCTAGAACACTTTGAGTAGGAAGAGACCTTAAAAAACATCTAGTTACAACCTGGCCTTGAATATTTCCAGATCTGGGACACCTACAAGTTCTCTGAAGAACTTCTGCCAGTGTTTCCCCTACCTCATAGTGAAGAATTTCCTTGTAGTATCTAACATCTTTAGGTTTAAATCCATTACCCCTTGTCCTATCAACACATATCCTTGTAAAAACTCCCCTCCAGCTTTCTTGTAGTCCTTCTTTAGCTATTTAAAAGCATTAGGCAAATGTAAAGATTCATATTTTATATTGTACTTAATCTTATATTTCATGATAATGTTGGGTCTTTTATTTGCATGCTATTCTAACTACTTTACATGTTAATATTTACTTTTGTTTCATCAATTGCCTATTAGGGTGGTGCCAGAGACTTCATATTCAGTCTCTTGCAATCTCCAACTTCTTCTCTGTTACACTGATTCTTTTTTCTCCTTCTCAAAATAAACTCAGAATTTTATCTTCTGTAATCATGTTCAAAATACTGTTGTGAAAAGCTACTTAACATTATGCAGGTCTTTAACTTTTTCTACTCAATTTTTAGGAACCCTGTATCTTTCCAACAGTAGTAATAAAGTTTGACCTCTGGAAATACATTTTTCTTTACCCATTTAAAAAATACATTGAAGCTATAAGAATTTTTAGGCTATAAAAACAAGTCTAAAAACCCAGTAATGTAAACCAAATAAAATAACCAATACATAACCTTTTTTTTTTTTTTTTCTTACTTTTCCCCAAATTATGTGGTGGATAGGATAAAACGTTGCAATTACTATCACATAAAGAAAACTCACCCATTCCCTGTGTTTTCATGTGAATTTCATGTGAATTTGAATTTTTAATTTGACTGAGGGAATATACATACTTTAGACTCTTCTCAAGGAAAAGATGCTACTATTACTTTTCTGGGATTGTTGAGAAAGGAAGAATGCCTTTTAATGATCTATTTAATTACCAGATATTTACCTAGTTGCCTAAATATCTCCTGTATGATTTAAATTCAAGTGTTGCTAAATAATTTTTTTTTATGTTTGCCTTGAATTTCCATATTAAAAAAAAAAATTCTCACAGAGTGATTAGTTAATAAGTCTCACTGGGTAACCTAACATTTGATCAATCTTAAATTTGCAAGCAAGTTGCAACATTTTTTTAAAAGTATTGTAATCTTGTGTTGGAGCAAGTGTCTTTGTAGTTCTGTACCTTGTCAGTACCCATGCTCAATGTTTGCTCCTTCTCCAAAGTCACAAAAGCTTGTTATCTACTTTACTGTGTAATAAAACACCACGAGAGAGATTGCTTGTGGATGTCAGCTGGTGATCAGCTCATGCCCTAAAGCATGAAGATTGATGGCCCTTGTAAATTTTTTTTCCTTGAGTTAGTGTAACCACAGATGTTATTTGCTATTATTTGTTACCACAGTTATTTATGGGCCATGCTTCCAGCCGCAAGTCAACAATTATTGAATAAGGACCTTATGCACTTCATCCTACTCCATCTGCTTGGAGCTGTTATGAAATCTGATCTACTTCTTGATTCTTAAGTGGTAAGTCAATCTATAAAGATTACACTGTTGCAACAGAATTTTTCCCTGTGTGTTTTATTTATGTGTGTGAGATCTTTCTGACCAAATACCTCTCAAGAACTTTCACCTTTGCATCATGGAACATACCAAACATTTTCTGATAGGTTTCTTCTTAGTTCACCATTATCTCAGTTTCCCAGGATTTGCAGTGTCATCCAAAGAAAAAAAAGTGATAACCCACTCATGTTACTTTTTAGTGGGAATTAACCAAATTTTGGGACCTTTCCACTTTGAATTGATACTGAAAATATGAAACACACTAAATATTGAATAAGAAACAGATTTGGTAGCTTTATTATGGATAAACAATTTTAGCCATTTCAATTTTTTAATGAAAAGTCCTTTTCTCACAAAAGAAAACTTGTAATTTATAGCACCAAATATCATGTAAAGGAATAAATTTAGAGAAAGCAATACCAAGTTATATACTTAGGTGTATAATAGCCTACATATTCTAAACAATCTGAATACCTGTAACTCCAGATATTTTACTTTCAATAAGGTCCAGTTTCTGCCTTGAATCAATTGGTTATTATCTAAAAAGGCAGGAGAATAAAGAGTTAAAAGCAAAAAATAAATCCTAAGAGTATGAGATGAGTTGTCCAAGGTCAGCTTGGAGCAGCTGAGCTAAAAATAGAAAGCAAGTATCCTGGATCAAACTCCAATGTCCTAGTGTTCTTATCAAAGAGTACAGAGAATACCAAATACCAAATCAAAGACTTCAAAAAATGTGTTTTAATCACTGAAATTGATGATTCTTTTTAATTCATGTACTTTCCATTGAGTATTTAAGTTAATGTTGAGCCTTCTGTATTACTGCATGAAACACAAGTGGATATATGCCAGTAAATGTCAGTCTTATAAGAGGTTTTTCTTTTGTACAGATGCCTGATTCAGGTTTTGTTTAATCCTTTCAAGGTCAAAAATCCTCAAGAGACTTAGAATTCTAGAGAGCTCTATTTCATGACTTCTAATATTCTTTCTGCCAGCTATTTAGGTAATCATCAAAAGCATAAAGAAGTTAGGTTCTTCACTGAAAAACACTCAAATATCTAGCACTGAAATGTCTTGCATCTGTATCAATATTATATTACCAATTACTGTGCTACATTATTAATAATGGTAACCAATTTATTAACACTTTAATTTTATGTCATTAACTTCTATGAAACAAGTACAGCTAATTCAGGACGTGATAAAAAAACTATTAAGCACTCTGCATAAAGTGATCTAAGGACTAGAATGAATCTACAGAAATATGTGTATATAAAACAATCCCATGCCCTCAAGCAGAACTATAGCTGTATTAACAAAAGGTTGTGGGGAAAATCTTGTCCCTGCAGAAACCAAAGGCAAAACTCCCATGGGTCTTGTACTGGGTGCTGAATATCTGTATCAATATGCATTTCTTTTCCAGATACATTTTTCCATACATTAGAATTCTGATATCATTTTATATCAGTAGATAAAAAATATATCAATAGTACCTGATAATGATTTATTTCTATATACACAGGTCTACAATGAAAAACAAAAATATTTCATTATCAAATATAATATTTTTAGAAATAAAAGCACTATTACCTCTTTAAGGAGACGACTCCTTTAATCAATAAATTTCAAAATTTTTGTAGTTGGATGATCTACTTTTCTCATAATGCATAAAATAATTTTGAAAATTTTGCAGATTCAGAACTATATTTTTCTGACAATCATTTGTTGTGTGCTCTTTCAAATAACAAGCACACCAATAGAAATGAAAATACTGTTTTTTCCACAGAAAAAATCTTGAGGCCAGCTAATTAGTAGGAAAGAAACTGAGATCAAAAGGAAAAAAAAAAACCACCTGTCATTCTAATTCCAGGTGTCTGTTCTGCTGCTAAAAAAAAAGGAAACAAAAGGCGGAACTCCCCCCTGAATTTTAGACCCTACAGAATACGGGCTAGTGCAAAAAAGGATGGTCATTCAAAACTATGAAACAACTTTCATGTGAGGAAATTTTTAATAAATTTTTGGCTTGGAGAGAATATATTTGAAGAGGGAAGTGATAAATTTTTAAAAAATTCAATGGTATGAACAAAATTAGTTGGAAATGTTTGCAATTTCTCATAACACAGTATCAAATAAAAAAAGTAATAGGATAATTTTATGCATAAATTTGACCATGCATGTAAGTCTCCTGCTAGTACCTCATCCAGCTGTGAATGCTATTACAGAAGGAACCTGGAGACCCTCTTTTAATCATAGCTTACTAGCATGTGTGAAAGAACCAGATAAAGAAGAATATGAGAGACCTGGCTTCTCTTCATTTGATTTCTGGTCCCTATCACAAAGTGAACACATGACAGCAAAGCATAAGCAGCTGCATTAAAAGTTGAAAAGACTTCTTTATAGAACAAGAATTGAATAGGAGATGTGACCCTAGAGCACAGTCTATTTCAGACAGTCCTGTCAGTGTAAAATGCTGTTCTTTGCTCTGTTAACTTGATAGAGTTAATTGAGCCCAGAGAGAAGAGATTCAAGGTTTTTGCTTGCTAACATTCTACTGTTAAAACCCAATAGATGACAAGGAAATTTTTTAGGTAAGTGAGGTATTGATGAGAAAACAATCAAGTACAATGACTCCCTCTGGTAGCTCAGCTATCAGGAATTTTATGCACGTGCAATTGGACAAAATTTATATTACTAGACTTTAATACTTTAGCATTTTAAAAAACATCAGAAAGATTTTTTTAATTGAAGGGAAGAAAAACCCCAAAAAGCTCCCAAAAAACTCCCAGAAAACCCCACTAAAAAATAACAACAACAAACCAAACCAAACCAAACCAAACCAAACCAAACCAAACCAAACCAAAAAAAAAAAAAAAAGCCACCAAAAAAACCCCAAACCAAAACAAAACAAAAAACCCAACGAAAACCAAACCTTTTTGTCCCTGAACCACCAGCTACAAAAGGATAAATTACACTACAACTCACCACCCTCTACAACCTCCCCAGGGACAGTTTTCTTTCCTTTCAACTTTCAGGGCCTAAACCTGAGCTGCCATTTTGCACACAAGAAGACTGAGACAAATAAAGATTAAGCTGTTTATAGAAAAAATTATCAAGTATATACATTATAAATCTGCAATTATTTTTAATCACGGCATTTAAAAATGAGAATTTGTTAGCAGACATCACATGACCTAATTTGGTGCTGGAAACTTCAAGATGCTTAGGAAACAACAGAAAAAAAGTAATTCAAATAGTGCACTAAAATTGTTCGTATTTTCTACAGGAATACAATGAAAATGTGTTCTCTTTAAAGTTAAAAATTTTACCTGCTAGAAAATTAATCTGTAGGTTAAAAGAAATTAAAATTAAAAGAAATTTTATATTACTAAAAACTTAACATCTGAGTATGTGATTTTTTTTTTGTCTACATCATGTACTTCACTGCATTATTTTTATGGATTGTGAGCTCACCAAGATCTTAAAAATCCCACATATGAATCTAATGAAATGGCACTCAAGGTTCCATACCATGGCTTCAGGTTGTCTTTATTACTGGTACAGCAATAACAGTGCTAATATTTGTGTTTATATAGTAGCTTCTATTTTAAATCTTCATTTCAGTTATTTACAATTTCCTCATCCCTTCTGTTTGAGGATAAAATGTATCAGGAATAAGCTGCCCAAATATTTTTTGTGGATTTATGTGAACAAAAATCCATTTAAGAACTGCAAGACACCTGAAAGAAAAGCAACTGCCCTGTGGTCCATGTACTTATTCCTGGCAATCTTTAATTTAAAACTATGTAAATTTATAGATGGAGTGAAATAATGGAAAATAGGAATATGCCTTATGGGAGAGCACTCTATGGTGATCTAATGGAAACATCTTTTTTTTCCTTAGTAGTAGAACATGAGAATATCTTTCTGTTGTTTGAGGTATTTTTTCTGTTCCTCTGGTTGGTTATTTTTATTACAGGTGGTTTTATTTATTTAAATTAAAGCTCTCAATGCAAAAACTTTTTCCATGTAGAATTCTTGATAGTGTAGCAGAAAATATTGAAAGTGGCAGAGTAGCAGGAGCAAGGAGCAAGGGCTTATGTAGCCCTTTTTGAGATGAGACTCATAGTTTGTTTCCCACATACCCACCAGAGCAGAGAGAGTTTAGTAGTGAGGGAAAAAAAAAAATTAAAATTTTAAATGATTGTGTGAGGATTTTGCCTTCTCAATAGATTTATTTACAGTCTGCTGAACATCAGAAACTTGCATTTCTCACAGTGCAACCCCAGACTGTCACATTTTACTACAACCTTACATATTGTTTGGTCTTGCTTGGTTTCACATGCAGCAGTTAAAACCCTGCCTGTTTTTCTGGTGCCTTTATCTGACTGAAAATTCTCTTTTTTTTTTTTTTTTCTTTTCCTTTTATTAAACATCTTGTGTAACACAGATGTCAAAACTAACACCCAGTGAAAAAGACGTGTGGCAGTGATGTGGCACAACTGTCAAGGCACAGAGATGTTGTGAAGAGCAGATACACAGTTATGCTGTACTATCTATGCAGGTTATCTGTCTAAAGTATAATTGTTCAGGATCCATAGGCTGCTGTCGTGGATTTATTGATATATAAGTAACTGTATTAATATATCCTAATTGGCTACCTGTGCCGAGTTGCTGAAACACAACACAAAGGTATCTCAGTGCAAATAAAATCTCAGAAGGGAAAATTCATTACCAGGTAACACTTCAGTTCAGCCACTGAAAATAGTTACTACTCCCCATCAATGCCAGTAGCATGGAACCATCTTAACACATTCATAAATATTGCCCTCCTCCTCTCCACTGACTGCGTTTCCCTCAGGAATATCCTCTGGCTCCTACATGGAGTCTTCCACAGGCCCCAGTGGTGTGGTCCTCTCCACAGGCTGCGCGGAAATCCCAACCCTTCTGTGGCTGTCTTCCAGGACCTG